AAGGGGTGGAGTTGGGGCAGGGGCGTGGGCGGGGCTGGGGGCAAGGCCAGGACCCTGTGGAGTGTCCTCTTTTTGGACACTCAAAATATGGTAAGCCTAAGTAATCAGGACCTTTATTTTGTATCTCATCTGGACGAGCTGCACCTCTCCTTGCTCTATACGGGGACATTGGTTCATTACTGACTCAGAGGAGGAAAAGTAACCCACACTGAGGTGTCAGCTGCACATAGTGTGTCTGGGTGGTCTTCCACCCATGGGGTTGCAGAGCCCTATATTGCTCAGGTTATGAGAGCATGTGAACATATAGCGCAACTAGGCTACAGCACTTGGGGTGCTAGTTTCATCTCTGCTCTGCTCTGCATGGCAGGGCTACTATTACAGTATAGCCAAGACCTTCTGATCAGGATCTGGGTCGCTTTGCGTTAGGCACTGTACAAACACACAGGAAGACACGTCACCATCTCGATTAATTTCATACCTTGCTTTAATTCCATGAATGAAGCTTCCCCTGAAGTTTGGAACTACAGGAGATTTCAAATAATATTCCCCAGTGTGGCTAAGCTATTTTGTTAGTGAGAGGGACACTGTCAAAATAAAACTCCTGCACACAACACCTTGTGAAGAGTTAAAATGGCAAACACAGACCCGATACTTCTGAAAATCCCTTTTCGTTTTGCTTGTGGAACATTAATTCTGGGTTTTGTTTTTTACGTTGAATAAATTTCTTAATTAAAAATGAATACTTCACCTGGGACTTAATCATTTAAACGTAACCCGGAACTCAGAATGGAATCGTTGTCAAGCATGTGGATTTTCTTTCTATAATGATGATGTTCTAACAAGGATTTTGTCCTAATATATAAGAACATAAGAATGGCCAGACTGGATCAGACCAAAGGTCCATCTAGCCCAGTATTCTGTCTTCTGACAGTGTCCAATGCCAGGTGCCCCAGAGGGAATGAACAGAACAGGTAATCAACAAGTGATCCATCCCCTGTCGCCCATTCCCAGCTTTTGGGAAACAGAGGCAAGGGACACCATCTCTGCCCATCCTGGCTAATAGCCACTGATGGACCTATCCATAAGAACATAAGAATGGCCATACTGGGTCAGACCAAGGGTCCATCCAGCCCAGCATCCTGTCTGCTGACAGTGGCCAATGCCAGGTGCCCCAGAGGGAGTGAACCTAACAGGTAATGTTCAAGTGATCTCTCTCCTGCCATCCATCTCCAACCTCTGACAAACAGAGGCTAGGGACACTATTCCTTACCCAGCCTGGCTAATAGCCATTAAGGGACTTAACCTCCATGAATTTATCTAGTTGTCTTTTAAACCCTGTTATAGTCCTAGCCTTCACAACCTCCTCAGGCAAGGAGTTCCACAGGTTGACTGTGCATTGTATGAAAAAATACTTCCTTTTGTTTGGTTTAAACCTGCTGTCTATTAATTTCATTTGGTGACCCCTAGTTCTTGTGTTCTGAGAAGGAGTAAATAACACTTCCTTATTCACTTTCTCCACACCAGTCATGATTTTATAGACCTCAATCATATCTCCTCTTAGCTGTCTCTTTTACAAGCTGAAAAGTCCCAGTCTTTTTAATCTCTCCTCATACGGCAGCCGTTCCATACCCCTAATAATTTTTGTTGCCCTTTTCTCAGGGCTGGCTCTGGCTTTTTTGCCGCCCTGGGTAAAAAAGCCACCCGCTGCCCTCCCCACCCACCAGCGTGGCAGGGGAGGGCGCCGAGCCCGGCCGCGGGCCCGCAATCCCCGACCGGCCAGAGCGCCGGGAGGAGGGCAGAGAGCCCAGCCAGGGCTCTCTGCTCTCCCCGGCGGAGAGCCCCCGGCAGCC